CATATACAAATGAAACGATAAACAACCTTCCTAAGTTGTGTTTAGTAAGTACTAAATACTTATTTTTGACATAGTAACAACCTGCGAATGCAGATGACATAACCTTGTTTGCTGAAAGTTAAGAGGACTTGAAGCACTTACTGATGAAGGTCAAAGACTAGAGCCTTCAGTATGGATTATACTTCCATGTAAAGAAAACAAAAATCCTCACAACTGGACCAATAAGCAAAATCATGATGTACAGAGAAAATATTGAAGTTGTCAAGGATTTCATTTTACTTGGAGCCACAATCAACACCCATGGAAGCAGCAGTCAAGAAATCAAATGACATATTATTGCATTGGGCAAATCTTTTCCAAAAGATCTCTTTAAAATGTTAAAAACACAAAGATGTCACTTTGAGGACTGAGGTGTGCCTGACTCAAGCCATGATATTTTCAATTGCCTCATATGCATTCGAAAACTGGACAATAAATCAGGAAGACCGAAGAAGAACTGATGTTTTTGAGTTATGGTGTTGGAGAAGAATATTGAATATACCATGGACTTCCAGAAGAATGAATAAATCTGTCTTGGAAAAAGCACAACGAGAATGCTGTTTAGAATCGAGGATGGCGAGACTTCATCTCACGTACTTTGGACATGTTATCAGGAGGGACCAGTCCTTAGAGAAGGACATTATGCTTTGTAAAGTAGAGGGTCAGCAAAAAAGAGAAAGACCCTCAATGAGATGCATTGACATGGTGACTGCAACAATGGGCTCAAACATGGCAACAATTGTGAGGATGCTGCAGGATGGGGAAATGTTTTGTTCTGTTGTACATGGGGTCGCTATGAGTTCTCACTGACTGGACGGCACCTAACAACAACAGCAGCAATAAACTGATGGCATACTGACGTTGGGGATTAAATGTAGAAAAGATGGCATTTTAGGAAAAAAAAGTCTATGATAATATCATTATTCTGTTAAGTATAAATCCACTAAATGAGTTGACATGGCTTTAAAATAAGCATGATACCAAATATCACATCATTTATTTAAAACTTTGCAAATTATTTCAGCAACTTCGGGAGCTATTTTTAAATGCTAAGACTCCATAATAGCAACCAAAACTAAAATATTTTTAAATGAATTATGAGAGAAGAGTGAAACTTACATGAAGAAAACTACAACATCTTATTGGGAATTTTAAACTCAGATTTTAATAGAGATATTATTAAACATATTCCTGGATATATAAACTAAACATTGTAAAAATTCTTTCTATCCTTTGGAGTCAATTTATGGAGCCCTGGTGGCACAGTGGTTAAAGTGTTTGACTGCTAACCAAAAGATTCGAGGTTTGACTCCACCAGCTGCTCCTTGGAAACCCTATGGGGCAGTTCTACTCTGTCCTATAGGGTCACTATGAGTCAAAATCAACTCAATGACAATGGGTTTGGTTTTTTGGTTTTTATACAATTCCAATGAAAATCCCAATGGCTGTAAAACATATATGGAAAATTAATAAATCAACTGAACATTTTGAAAGGAAAAGAGATAGCCTAAGGCTTTTGAGTCTTACTGAGAATAAATTAAAACAATTGGAATGAAACGAAAAATCAAAGAAAACTGCAAAAAAAATTTCCCATCACCAAAAAAAAAAAACAAAAACAAAAAACACACAAACTTATTAAGCAGAAAAAAAAAATCTTTGAGTTTCAGACAGGTCAGACAAATGATATAAATGTTGATTTTGCAGAAATGATAAAATACATTTTTTCCCTCTACAAAAAGAGAGTGTCTAGTATAGCACTCAAACCATTTTGATTGACAGGGAATGACAGACATTACCTGTCACTAAGATTCTCATCTTCAAACCTTTCACCTTGGACCTAGGAATGCAAAAATCAACTATATACATATATATGTATATACATGTAGGTAAATATATATAAAGTACATAAAAATTTATATGTGTATATATGTGCATATACATGTATGTACGTATACAGTATATGAAAAGGTTTGGTGTATGGCATAATACACAAAAAAAAAAAAAAAAATAAGGGGCAATGAGTTAAATAGTAAAGTAACACACTAAATAATTAAAAAGCAAAAGAAGAAAATAGAGTAGGCTATTAAAGAGACCATGGAGGAATACATTGTTAGCTTTGATGCATATGTAGAAAAAGTATAAAAAATCTTCATAAAAAAACTAAGGCAAAACTTGAAAATCACTATCATGGTTGCATCTGTGTTATGGAATTCAGAGTACATTTTTTTTTCTTTTAGAATTTTTTGTCACTCTCCAAATTTTCTATACATTGAAAATTATTTTGGGAAAAATTTTCTTCAGTATACAATTTTTACATGCCACAAAACATAAGTAAATAAAATACACAAAATTTTTGCACAGCAAAAATAGTGGAAGGAAACTTTAAAAATACTAACAGAGAATATTTTTGGTAGGTGACACTCTGAAAGTTTTTGATTTCTTACTCTATTATTCTTTCTTCTTAAATATGCTATAGCAGATTTTTTATAGACTTCTTATAAGGAGCTCAGATCTTCTTTAGAAAGGTAAAATCAAGGTTTATTTTTAAAACTAATATTTAGAGGCAGGAGAAGTTTGAAGGAGATTGAGGAACCCTGACTCTACAAAATATTGGATCTCATTATAATATGAAATTACTTAGAAGAATTAATTTAATGCAGATAAACTGAATAATAAATCAATAAAACACAAAGAGTCTGGAAATAGATTCAGCTATATAAGAGGAACTGAATGTAATATAGTAAGCTTTCCAATACAAAGAGGTTAACAAGAATTAGTTAATAAGTTTGGTTGAGATATTTAGCTGTAGTTTGGGACAAGTGAAAAGAAATGCAGAAGTTAAAGCCAGAACAGCATGACACACCAAAATAAATGCCAGAAGGACCAATGAGTTAAGTACTAAATAATAAAAAAGCCCAAGCAGAAAATATTAATAGAACAGACTATTTAAGGAGATCATGAAAGAATATATTTTCAGTTTTATTGTCTTAGAGGATATAAAAAGGAAAAGATTGTCACGTTGAAATATACAAATTTAAGATCTCTATAATTACAAACAAGAGTAAAATATTGTGAAAATATTTACATCAAAATTTTGATAAATAATACATCTAATATATAAAGAACTTATTCAAAATTATAAAACATTAAGCCAGACAAATCAGCAGAAGATAAAACTTGAAGTAATTAAAATATGTGGAAGGAAGTTCATTTTTATTAGTAAGCAAACAACAAGCTAAAACAAATTTCAGATTGTTTTACAACCACTAAATCAGACAAAATAAATTTTAAAAGATTAAAGTCTAGAAAGAACATAGAGAAACTGGTGCACCACCTTGCTGATATTTGCGTTTGTAACTCATTTTGAAAGCAATGTGCCAATAGATAGCAAAGGTGATAAAGATGTTCATCTCCTTCAGCTCAGAAGTTCCACTATATGGAATTTATGTTGAACATATCATTCTCAGAAGCATAAGGTATCTGCACAAAAATTTTAGCATGTTCTTTCATAATAAAAAAATAAAAATAAAAACAACCATAATAATAGTAGAATAAAAAACAAATTAACGTACATGTATGAGAATTACTTAGAAATAGGGAAAAGTCTTATTGTATGATAAATCAAAACAAAAATATAAAACAGTATATATACAATATTATATTTAATTATGTATGTAGAAAATACAGATGATAAAATGCAAAATATGAAAATAATTGACCTGTTAGCCATAAAAATGTGTATGTTTCCTAGTTTAAAAGTGTTTAAATCCAAGTGTTACTGATAATTGGCACAGAGATATAATAATTAGGTACCAAATATTTTGATTTTATAAAATAAGAGAGAAATTTTTTCATGGGTAAGTCATACAGTAAAATAATAAATGGATTTATAGTCAGAGCACCTAGTGTGTGTTCTGTGTGTGTGTGTGTGTGTATAACAAAGAGTCCCTCCCTAGTCTACCACTGACTAGGCCTCTCACACACATATCCTCAGAAGCAAGAAAAGGAAACAAATAATTACCTGTGTTTTGCTTACCCCACACAGTCACCGTAAGGGTTAAATAAAGTAGTGTGTGTGAAAACACCTATTCTAATGCTTGGCATATTCTAAGGGCACACACACACACACACGCACACAAAATATTCTTTCAATATCAAAGGGAGGTAATATCAAGGATTTGTTAACATTCTAAATTGTAATATTAACAAATACAATCCAATATTCTTCCTTAATCTATGAAGTAATGGAACTAGAATTGATCATTTTAGTACTCTCTACCAACTCTGAGGTTTTAGAAACCTATAAAATTCTGTGAACATAAAGAAAAACAAAAATCACGAAAGAACTATTACAAGAAAATAATAAATGTATGGACCTCTTGGAAGAGCATACCTTAACAAAAAGTTTCAAAATCAGTATATATATATATATATGTAAACATTTCAAAAATGAGAAAAAAAATTAAAGCAGAGACATATGGGGCCTCCCACTGTATGACCTTTGCTTGGTTTCATAAAATGCTCCTTCAGGAAATGTTTGTCTTCAAAAGACTTTCTATGACTCAGGAAAACAAAATACAATTCTACAGTGACATGAAGTGGAGAGATTTTATTTCTGGAGGGATGGTCCATGCTTCTGGCATAGGGTGTAGTTTCTGTTTGAGGAAACTCTGTGTTCCTTGTTTTCACCTTTGTGTTTAAAGCACAGATTAGATAAATACTTCTATCTACAAAAATCTGCTCATTGGAAGACAGAACACGCTGTACAACCTATTAAATTTGTCATTGCTGGGGTTTTGCCACAAAGCTGAGTCTGGTTTTAAAAGTAAATTTTGTATTCTCTATTTAAGAGGTTTGGAGAGATTATGCTCACCCTTAGTTCCCCCAAATCTGATGTTAATATCTAAACCTGTAAATGCTGTCCTCCCTAACTCCTCAATGCATCTGTCCCCAAAACCTACCTGTTTCTTCCAGACTCTGAGCAGCCCGCTTGCTCCTGCCACCTTGACTGGAGTTGCTTTCTCCTGGGGCTGGTGGTGCCAAGATCCCCTATTGACAGAAAAACCCCAAGTTATTCAAAAGACGTCTGAGGTCGGGGAGAGGCAGTGGTGTGGGAAGCATTGGGGCGGCAGCTGCTGGTAACTCACTTGCAGTCCAGGGGTGTCAGCTGGAGTTTCCCTCCAAGCTGCCGCAGGGGCTCCTGCTTCTGCTTTGGAGGGTGCTGGCAGCTGCTCAGCTTGGTAGGACTGCAGTTTCGCCTGGAGGCTGAGCAGCTCTGCTTGCAGGGTGGCCACTTGGTAGAAAGACACCACTGTCAGGCAGGAGGACAGCAGGGTCAGCAGCAAGGTCATGGACAGGAGCTTTCCGTCTTTAGAGAACCAAGCAGAGGGGCTTTCCTTGTGGGGGAGGATGGGAACACACTCCTTCACTTTCATTTCTTCTCTTTTCGCAAGGCAAGAAGAAAGGAGTAACTGCTCTGTGGAGTCATCCATTTTGCTACTTGAACTTTGAAGGTTAGGGCCTTTAGAATAAGTGACCACAGGGAATGGATCATTTCCTGTTATCGGTGTTTGTTGATGTCCTATATTTAATACATCACAGAGCTTGAGTCCCCCAGGCAGGAGAGTTCTCCCGAATTTTCTTCTTTTCTCCCTTGCTGCATCTCTGCCCCTACTGTACAACAGGTTTTACTGGCATTCACCCTTCTATGGGATTGCTCAATCCATCTTCCTCATTTCACTTTCAGTTTTTGTAAGAATTTTAATGGCATCTCAGAACACTCTTGCACAAATGGGCCCCTTAATCTACTGACTAAGCTTTGAGTTGGATTGGCATACCTTGTGAGATTATGTACATGCTTAAGAAGCTCATCCTGGGCATTGCGAGAGAACCGTGTTGGCTGGGGCCATGTGGCTTTGGAAGCAAGAGGAAAAATATCAGAAAATGTTCCAGTCGGTGTAATAAAAGCAATTAATGTGAAGGTCAGATAAGCTAAGTGCTTTAGCAGTAAATTGTCCTTACTTGGAGTTTTGATTTATTAACAGTCTTTAAGTATGTAATAAAATTAAAGACCTTAAGAGAGGACAGGAAGCCAGCTGGGTATTGTTCTTGTTCTTGTTCTTCTTATAACAATGTAATCAAAAGAATGTGACTAATAAATTCTAGAAGCTTATTTAGATTAGATGTGAAGGGGAATCCATTTTTAAAGGAAACTTGCATAATTTTTTTTTTTTTTTCCTTCTAAGACTCCCTGGCTAGGTGATCAATGATTCATGCAATCTGCCCCTCCTGATAGGTCTCCTTCCACCTCTGCTGTTCTGCTTCTCAGGTTTCAAGTCCCAGCTCAGTCTGATACTGTTTTGAGGTGAATCTGGCCTTATCTCCAATTCCAAGTACCTCAATGCCACCATTGATTATTCTTTCCTTAAAGTACCTTATCTACTAGGCACATATTAGGTTGACTCTGCCCCAACCTAAAGTGTATAAAAAAGGTCCCAACTCAAACAAGAGTCACTTTAGTTTCAAGCTCACCATATTGTCAGACATGGTGATGCTGCCCAAACTCTTTGACTCAGTCCATTCCTGCCTTGTCCTGATCTCTGTCTCCTGTTCATTTCCCAGTTTCTGGCTGTTCTGCCCCCAGCAGTTAACATTGATTCATCATTCAACAAATAGTACTGAGCCCTTACAAGCACTGGGGTAGGTGCTACTCCCCTGCATGCTAAGACTGCTGAATATTAACTTCCTCTTGCTAGCATTTCTATGCAATAGTGAAAAAAAGAAAAGAAAATTAGTGTAAGGAAGGATCAAACCCTTGAATCCAGGGCTCTAATCTTGCCTCTACCACTTATCCATCTTAAGCAAATTACTGAAAAGTCTTTGTGATTCAGTTTCCTCATTGGTAAAATGAGATAATAATAGTAACTCTTGGGATTGTAACGAGACTTACAGAAATGTCGGAATGGACTGCATTCAGGATGTGTCCACTTTTTCACTCATTTTCACTCATTACATTGAAAATATAAACGTAATATTTTTTGTTATTACAAAGAGTGCTGCAAATAGACATTTTTATACACATCTCCTTGTTTCCAAAATAACTCCCTGCTGTAGGGTGAGCAAAGGCGCTGGTGGCACAGTGGTTAAGCACTGGGCTGCTAACTGAAAGGTTGCCGGTTCAAACCTACCAGCTGCTCTGTGGGAGAAAGATGTGGCAGTCTGCTTCCATAAAGATTGCAGCCTTGGAAATCCTTAGGGGCAGTTCTACTCTGTCCTATAGGGTTGCTGTGAGTCAGAACCTACTGGACAGCTATAGGTTTGGTCAGGTTCGAGTAAGGTAAGCACACCTTCAGCTTTATGGATTTTCTCCAAATTACCCTCCAATGCTTTCCCGTTTCCTTACCCTAGTATTGCATGATGTCATCAGACTTCTCAGTCTTTACCTATCTATTGGCATTGTTACTTATTCCCTTTGCTTCCACAAGTTCCAGATGTCTCTCTTTATGATTTGTTATTACCTTGGTGCCCCAAATAAACCATTCTCAAATTGTTCATGTGGAAGTCTTCTTTTATCAGTGCATAAACTGTTTTGGGTTCAAACATCACATAATACAATTCTTTTGTCACAGTCCTTGTTTCTAGGTCAATCAGGGTGATGCATACTGGATAACACTGGAATTAAAAAATAGAATTCCTTTGAGTATTTTATTAAACCCTTCTGACTGAAAGTAATTGAGACTCATTCAGCTTATATTTAAGTATATACATATACATATATGTGCATATGTATGGGAGCCCTGGTTGCAAAGTGGTTAAGAGCTCAGCTGCTAAACAAAAAGTTGGCAGTTCAAATCCACCAGCCACTCTTTGGAAACCCTATGAGGCAGTTCTACTCTGTCCTATAGGGTCGCTGTAAGTTGGAATCAACTCGATGGCAACAGGTTTGGTTTTTTTTTTAATATATGCATATAGATGAATACATATAGAACTAAAACTAGAAATGAATTAAGAATTCACGACAGTGCTAGAATCCAACTACTCTCTACTTTCCACTCATGAGCCATTGAGCCACTGGTTTTCTCCAGGAGTCAGCATTCCTCCACTTCTACCCAACCGATCCTCTCCAGTAAAATTCTGAAGGGAAAGTGAACTAATTTAACTGTATTAGAAAATTACCTCAGCCTCTTTTGCTCTATTTGGCAGAGATCTTCATGCGAAACCGTCTCTATGTTCAGACCATTTAAAACAAGTACCGATCTTGGTTCAAGCAGTGGGCAATTCTGTTCAGAGAACAGGCTAGTGCTTCTCTGATGGGAAGCCAGCTGTGAGGCTTTCCCCAGAAACACATTGGCAGGCAGGTCCTGCAGTCTGCATGTCGTCTACGAGGATCACACAATTAAATTTTCTCTAAAAACAGAAAACTAAGGGGGCTTTCATGCTCTGTTACGTTTCTTATTAGACGAACAAAAGGAAGTTATTACTCCCTGAATCAAGGAACCGCTTCCTGCAAAGGAAATGGTTTGACAATAATTTAACTGAAATTCTGTTAAACCAATAGCATATTCATATTCATTGAATAACACACCGTAAGTTTATTCTCAGAGAAAAAGCTACTATACCAAAGCCATATATTTTATAGTAAAATTTATATATACTCAGGGTTTACTCTAAGTAATTAGCTACTTTTTACACATTTCTTTTTCTCAACTCAATTATAAAGCATTCTCCTGTAATATATGTATACCAAATTGAAACACAGTGAGGATCCTGTATTCCTTGGGGTTGTCAGGATTGTCCCATCCACTCAAGTGCAGGCAGATAGGATAATGAGAGGGTATATCTCAAAAGAGGGAGCCCCACTGCACAGTCACTCTGTGGGAGAAAGACCTGGCAATCTGCTCCCGTAAAGATTACAGCCTGGGAAACCCTAAGGGGTAGTTCTACTCTGTCATATAGGTTCACTACGAGTTGGAATCAACTGGATGGCACCTAACCACAACAATATATTTGAAAAGAACGTCAGTTATGAGTTTATCCAAGGGACAGAACCACGGCAAAAAATAAACATCAGCTATGGGACTACTTGTTTGTTACATGAACAACCTCAAAAATATTAAAAAACTTAATCGTTTCTGACTTAATAGTAGTATGAAAGATTAACAGGCTTGGGGGACCTCTCCTATACCCCTTTCTTTGAGGACAGAGTTACCTTTCATAAGGATTTGAACCATTCAAGCATAGAATCCGCAGCACTTCGATATGCAGATATACCTTAAAAGTATACCGTGGTAAAAAGGACACCCCAGAGAGCCCAGGACATATAAAATAATTTGACACAAATAACTGTTGTATTTCAGAAAAAATCATGTTGTTTTCTTGCAGGAATATATATGCAGTCAGCTGCTATTGTAGTTATGGTGACATTTCATTTGGAAGGCTAAATGTTAATCATTCTGTATAATTTAAATGTGCAGTAATATATGTTGTTAAAAATAGACAACTCTGAGCATTTCTTATACAAAAAAATAATCAGGTGACCAGTGATACTGATCTCTATTGCTTAATAGTTACATTAACAAGAGAAGTGTGCATGTATTTGCTGAGGTTTAATTTTTTTAACTCTTGGGGGAAAAAAACCCACTTTCCTAATAACTCCAAACCAAATCATTTGCCTATCAGTTTCATTTGTGAATACATTCTCAATTTGTTCTTTAACTACTTACAAATTTAATGCTGTTAAATCACAGTGTTCAAGTGCGTGTTTTAAGAAATTTCTGTCTACTTCAAAAAACCAAACCAGTGACCTTTGAGTGGATTCTGATTCATAGTGACCCTATAGGACAGAGAAGAGCTACCCCATAGGGTTTCCAAGGCTGTAATCTTTATGGAAGCAGACTGTCACCTCTTTCTCCTGCAGAGCGGCTAGTGGCTTCGAACTGCTGACCTTTCTGCAATACTACTTTTAATTATAGTGCAATTTAGTTTGCTGTTCTTTAACTTTACTGTACTTCCAAGAATATTTTCATTAATTTTAAGACACGTACAGGTTAGTCAATGTGCCCATTTACCTATTTGATATACCTCCCCCCCAAAAAAAACACAAAAAAAGTTGCCAGGGGGTCGATTTTGACTCATAGTGACCCCATAGGACAGAGTGGAACAACCCCATAGGGTATCCAAGTAATGGCTGGTGGATTTGAACTGCCGACCTTTTGGTTAGCAGCCCAGCTCTTACCACTGTGCCACCAGGGCTCCAAGATTTGATATACATGGATGAATTTTTCTATTTTGTGTTCACACACTCACAGAATACACATTGACACACAGGTACACTTCAATAATACCTTCTCAGATTGATCCACCTAAAATAATAATAATAATAATAATATATTAGTTCTACCCATGAAGGAAATGTCACATATGACACTGTCTTTAAAAACCAGTAAAGCAGTGTTTGCAAACTTTAAAATGATTTATTTGATAATTTTGCTTATTAAGAGTTACAGGTAGATGGGTGAGGGCCGCAGAGCCTCCTGTCCTCCCTTGGATGTGGGCTCTGGAGTCAGACGTCTCAGTGTCTCCAGTGCTGCTTTACTATATAACAAACTCTTTCCTGCTCAAAATCTGCCCTGATTTTGTTTAACTGTCTTTCTGGGATGTGGACCTAATTGCACACTTAAGGGAAATTCTAATAATTGCAAGTCTGCCATAGTGACTCCGTCCACATTGAGAGTGATTGCTAAGGGTGAGAGTATGACAGAGTTTTTTACAAGCAAACGTCAGAGGTGGTCTCTTGGCGTGCCTCTGAGAAAAAGTTCTATATTTTTAAAGAGAAACATAAGAAAGAGACCATCTTCTTCTTCCACTGGATGTTAGACACCTGCATGTGACAGTCTAGAGTTGCAGCTGCCATCTTGCAACTCTGGTGAA